ATATGTAAAAAAATATTGATGTTTACAAATATTTACTTATTACATTTTAATCCTAACTGGTGAAACATTCAAGAGCATGTCTTTGCACAATAACCTATAGATAGATATAATATAGCTGTATGTACTGTATATTCGACATCAAAGTATCTTGCTTGGGTATGTTAACATAACGGAGAAAACAAAAACAAGGGGCGCCTTTCCTAGTGTAGATACATTGTTATTAGCAAAACGGCAAAAGTAGGATAACACTCACAAAAGAGTAGATGACAATGAGCCTTCAAAAGCAAAGGTTGATCCTCATTTTAGCAAAGAGCAAAACACAGCATGTGAGAGCTGCACAGATAGTGTTCCTGTGTGCCAGCAAGGTATGCCTCAGTTGACGCGTTTCCGGGGGCCATCTTGGGAAGGGGGCGTGGCCCCAGAAACGCGTCAACTGAGGCATACATTGTCTGGCCAGGAAGGGAGTATAAACACCCGGGTCAGCAAGTGGTTAAAGACCTTACCTCCAGCAGACTTTGTATGTATTCTTCCTCTGGTTCATGGTGTAGAGAGGGACTAAGCACTATAAGATAAGCTACCTTGTTATTGGCATTCTTTAATAATGTGGACAGCTTTTGCTGATGTTGTGTTAATCTAGTTGTTCCCTTTTTTAACCCAGTGTAAAGGTGCCCACACACCATGCGATTATCGTACGATAATCGCAGGAAATCCCACGATCATACGATAATCGCAAGGTGTGTGGAAGGCATGCGACCTTTTCTACTGTAAAGCAAAACAAATGACAAATGCACTCAACAATTTGTCACCAGCTAGTTTCTACTGTACGGTCGCACGACTTTTATCTTAGGAACATGTTTGAAAACCCGCCGAGAATCGTACGATTGTCGGCGGGTGTGCGGCATGCTCGTAAGATAAATGCCGAACGGGCCGGTGTGTGCAAGCGCACACTGCCCGTTCAGCATTGTGGTCATCGGAAGCCTGCCCCTCAGCGGGGCGGGCTTGCGATTATCGCAAGTACGATCTGCCTGTCCAAGATGGGCAGATCGTACTTTTTTTAATTACCTTACAACCATCGCAAGACAAAAGTCTTGCGATGGTTGTAAGGGGTGTGGCCAGCTTAACATAGTAACATAGTTGATAAGGTTAAAAAAAAACAGGTTCAACCCGTTAAGCCTTTGTGTGTGTCTGTGTGAATTCCCATATCCCTGTATGGCCTGGGCAGGCCCTCCGCACACTATTTGTGGGAATTATTGTTATATTTGCACATCATGACAAAGCTCCATGTTTTAACTTTTTTTCTATCCAGTTAAAGATGATGCCATTTTATGAGGTTTTTTTGTGCTTCCATCACTGGTTTTAAATAAAACTAAACACATTGTTACTATGCCTGCTTTATTAAGATATGTGTTTCTGTGTCTTTTACATTATTGGCTATAAAAAGGTCATGATGTTTGGTCATCTGCAAATCAGAAAGCTTTCTACTGTATAGTAATACATTTAAATTTGGTTATATTTTTCCCAGTCACTAATAGGAAATCTGCCAACTTTGTTTGATACAAGTGAAATTTTGACCATTGTGACCAAGCTTCTGACCACTTATATAATAAGGTCCTGAGTTTGTCTCAAAACTGGTTTGTGCCCTATAAAGGTCAATGGCTATGCGAAAAGAGCTTAAAGTAATATTAAACTCTCAAACTTTTTTTTTTTTTCAATAATTAGTCCAGAGCAAACAAATATACCGTACTTTCTTGTATGCACAGCCTCTGCCTCTGTACATATTGACCACGATTTGTAACTCTTTTTTCTGGCGGTATGAGCTCATTGGAAAGTCCTGTGCCTAATTCAAGCCTTGTGACAGTTCCAATACCAGGGCTCTGTGGGGTCTCACCAGCACCAGGGTTCTTTAGGGTCTCACCAGGGCTATGTGGGGACTGGTTAGACCACACAAAGCCTGGTAAAACCCCACAGAGCCCTGGTTAAGCCAGGGCTCTGTAGGGTCTCACCATGACTCTGTAGGGTCTCACCATGGCTCTGTAGGGTCTCGCCAGGGCTCTGTAGGGTCTAACCAGCTTGGTTAGACACCACAGGGCCCTGGTGAGATCCCAAAGAGCCCTGGTGAAATCCCAAAGAGCCCTTCAGGGTCCCAACAGGGCTCTGTGGGGTTTAACCAGGGCTGGTGAGACCCCACAGAGCCCTGGTGAGACCCCGCAGAGGCCTGGCTAAACCAGGGCTCTGTGGGGGCCTCACCAGGGTAGCAGGCCTGTGGGGGTCTAACCAGCCTTGTTAGACCCCACAGAGCCCTAGTGAGACCCCACAGGGCCCTGGTTAAACCAGCGCTCTCCACAGCACTCTCCTCAGGGCTCTCCAGGCCGCCACTCACCAGTACTGTGCTGGCCGTGTCTCGGGGGCGGGAGCTGGCAGGAGCGTGCCGACATAGTCTCCATCTGCTGCTGAAGATAAACTCCAAACTCCCAGCCAGAGACCCTCGTGTGGTGGATGGGAGGGGTGAGGTCTCTTCTCATTGGCTGGTGGGCAGAGCTCCAGAAGACCGAGTGGATGGACCGTACAGACGATCGAGGAAACGTATGAGCGCTCAGCCCTGTCACTGTCAAACTGAGAGTCTCAGTTTGACAGCGGCAGGGCTGAGAGCTCACAACGTTACCTGACTGCGAGCGAGGTGATGTGCTGTTCCGACAGGGCAAACAAGGTGCCCCTATTATTCATAGGGGTGTCGGGCCCCTATGAATAATAGGGGCCCGACGCTGAAGTGATGTCCTCTGCAAAGGCTCCCCACCTCAGCGTCGAGCCCCTATTATTCAGCCTTGGGCACCAGCTGCGTGCTCCTACCGCGCTGGTGCAGAATCAGCACAGTAGTAGGGGTCCGACGCTGGGGTGAGGGAAGCCTTTGCAGAGAACAGCTGCTGTCCTCTGCAAAGGCTTCACCCCAGGGTCGGGCCCCTATTCAGTCTTGGACACCAGGCCAGCTGCTTGCTTTTACTGTGGTGATCTCTGCAGAAAGCCCCCCCCCCCTCGTCGGCCATATAAACTAAGCTGCTGTGCTGTCCCCCCAGCCCAGACACCAAGCCCCAGACTCATCTCACTCAGCAGCTGCTGCTGTTCCCTTCCCCCCCAGCTCCAGATCATTGCTGGCTTACCTTATCAGTGCAGTGACTTGACTACACACAGGCTCTGCCACTCAGCCTCCAGCTGTGAGAGCTCCGCAGCTGCCCCTTAGGAAAAAAAACCCTTCCTGCATGTGGGCAGGAAGGTACCAAAACATCACATTGGATGGGGGGTTTGGGACGTACCAACTGTTCCGTACAAGTCATACGGAACAGTTGGTACGTCCCAACCCCCCATCTAATGTGATGTTTTGGTACCTTCCTGCCCACATGCAGGAAGGGTTTTTTTTTCTGTGCTGATTCTACGGTACGACCGCGGCGGGCTCAAGGGGCAGCTGCTTTGGGCCCCACAACCATGACAGGGCCCGGGGCAAGCACCCTCTTTGCCCTGCGTTAAAGACGGCCCTGACTAAACCTAATCCATGGTGATACAGACTTCTGAAAACATTGGTTCCTACTGCACAGTTGAGTTACATGTTGACCTTGTGAGATAGTCAGTTGGTCATCTCTCTTCTCTCCAAGCTTTGGTCTCACAGAGTGGGTGTTGCCCCTTTGGACTGGGCGCTCCTGCTACCCCTTTATGTCTGTTTTCCCCTCTTGTTATGACATGTTCTTCTTGAGGGAGCTAGATTCTGCTCTGTATGAGGACCTGGATGATTTGGAAAATTGGTGATATACTTGAGCTGTGTTCTACGGGACCTCATGGGGGAAGGACTGCATTGTCTGTTGTTTTTTCTACTGTTTACTTTGACTTTGTGACATTCTAAATAAATATCATATTTAAAAAAATGGTTGCTGTATGTGATGGGCACAGTAAATTTAGATCCTAAAGGTGCACAGATACATGCAAAAAAGGTAAAAACTTCCAGTGGTCACAGGTAAGATTGTGATATCTCAATGCTGGGGGTTGTTAGACAAACATTATTGATACTTTGGAAAGGGAACCTATACTTTATACTCTATACTGTGACTGCGCACTCATGTGGTGATTAGTTTATGTGGGGCATGGACATATACATGAGGGCATTGATATATTGATATGCCAATTGAAAAAGTCCCTATGTAGTTTCACTACAGCTGCAGTAATGAGGTTGTCCACCCGTGATATACACCTACATACATCGGTTGTACAGACATTAAGGAAGAATGGAGCCCATCACACCAGGGGATATCTAATCAGTCTATTGTGGATAACTTTGAAATAATATTGAGTTTATAACCATATATCCTTATTTGTGTATTGCTTAGTAGTACATATGTGGCATCTGCCCCATCTTAATATACCCTAGTTAACTGAAGATGAAAGAGAATCTATACAGGAGCACTGTATATGGTGTTTAACAAATTAGCATATAGGGGTATTTACAAATATACCTGTGTATTGGGTGGCTTTTTAAAGTTTATTATTGTACAATGGTGTATTTTGTTAGTAGAATGTTGCACTATTGTTTTCAAATACGTGTTTGTAGGGCTTGTTATGTAATTTAGATCAGAAACATGTTTTATTCATAATTTTTTTATATATTCCAGAGGACAGTGGTGTACTTTGTATCCTATCGGGAGACACAATTTTTGTTATGCTGAGTCTTAAGTTCCCGCAAGATCCTTGGTGACTTATTTGTTTACAGATTGCAATAGGTACTTCTAGTTTCACAGTGCCGGTCACTCTCTTTCTCTATCCTTGAATCCTGGTGTTGCTCGAGCATTACATCTGCAGCCAGCTCTGATTTCAGGAAATACTGACATAAATCTCCCACATTGGCATAAGTCAGATATGTCATAGGTACACTTTATTTCTTCTGTATGTGTCCGCTAATATTATTGCCTTGCTTTTTTTTTTTTCCACTTCTACTTTAAATAAACATTTTTGCTGAGCATAGATTGTATTGGGAAGGAGAAGCAAGTGTGGGAGTTTCAGGAAGAGACTGAGATTTAGAGGAGTGGTTAAGTATTTATAACTCCCTTATGCTTCCACTTTCTTATTTAGTGACTAGTGCACTCACAATGAATTCTTCTGTTCTTCTCTTTATCTTGTTTTTTGTGTGTGCATCAGCCCAGCACAAATGTCCGCATCCTCCAAGCGAATGGTGCAGTTCCTGGGAAATTGCTAAAGCTTGCCAGGTAAGAAAATTCTTTCATGTTTGTAGCTTTGTCCATGTTGTCGAGTATTTAACTACTGTGTGCAGTCTAGCTCATCTCATACCTTACTTATACTTAGTCACTTGCTGTAAATATTTAAGCAAATTGATTTTAATAACTACGCCTGCTTTGTTATACTGACATGGATCGCATTTATTGGCAGGCCCAATTACCCTGTGACTTTTATGTTTGTGGACTATAAAGTCTGCTGTATTCATTTAAATGAAACCTGTTTCTTAATATAAACAATGATTGCTTAAAATGATGCAGTAAACACATTTGCCAAATCATATACCATGTTAAAAGCTACAAATTGTTCCTCTGGCAACTATTTGTGAAGGAGGCTATACTATAAAATAGAAGTTAACATTTAGGATGTAGTGGGGCTGACTTACTAATGGTTTTTCATGCATAAAGCTAACCTTTAGGTTTCTTTAAGCTGATGTCATGGCCCCCTCCCTCTGCGTGCAGAGATTAATACTTACAGAGTACAGTACTTTGTTTTAGGGTGAATTCACACCAAATGCATTGGAGCTGAGGTAGGTGTTGTTTCCAGTGCAGCTCCAACACAAGACTAGGCAATTTGCCTTTTCACAGATGGGCACCATTCACACCACCACGTTGCGGTGGTAACACGGTGGTGTGCACTGCAGAAAATACTGCATGCAGCAGCGAGATCCAGTGCTGTACAACACCTTGCACCTCACTGTGCCCATAGAACTTAATGAAATGTCACTTGTGACATTTCAATAAAATACTATAAAAATGTACACAGTGCTATGTGCTGGGATCGGTGCATCAACACTGTGCCAGGCACCACATATCAGCCGCTGTGCAATGTAGCGTAGCGGCTGGTGTGAATGGGCCCTTAAAGTGCACTAAAAGCAAGTCCTGAATCCAGTTAGATTGTGATATGTGTGCTGGCTGTCTGAATACAGTAGCGGGCAGGGAAGATTTCTCCATCCATGCTGTTTAGGGGGAATTGAATGATTTATTTCATTTTTGCTCTGTGGGCTAAAGGAGAGCAGTCTAGCTATGTAACTGCTCCGATGGGTGGTACACAATGTTATCTGCCGATGATGTTGTACCTCCTTGTGGTGCACTTAGATTATAATAGAGCCATACTAAAACCAGAAACACTGGATCTTTATATATTTGAACCACCAGACAGCATTAGGAGTGCTTTGTTTACCAGCAGGACAACTATGTAATATCTACTACAAACATGCATACTATTTTTTTTTCAGAACTTAGGATTTGTAACTCTTATGATTTCTTAATTAGGATGTTTAAAACTTTACACAAATTGACTTTTTTTTTGTCACATTGATAGTTGCACACAGGAAAGGCTGAAAGTGAAATTGATATGTTGCGTGATTCAAGCGTCCATAGTCCAAAGCTGAAAGAGTATAGTTAGATAAGAGTAGTGTTAGTGTGCTGTTTTATTGTGTGCCTAATGTTTTTGGTTTCATATTTTTCAGAGTTTTCAAATGTTAATATGTGAGAGTGTGAGAATTTTGTTTTTTTTGCTGGGGTACCTGAGTGTCTTTACACCTTTGTCCTTCCAGGTTATAATCGTGGTACCACCTTTCACTGTAGAGTATGCTGGAGCAGGGTCCCATAAAGTGTTCACCAAATCCTGCTGAATGTTTCTTAAATTTATTTTTCATCAAATAATGGATATATGCTAAATACTCATCTTCCATTTTCACGCTTTACCATGTTGGCTCCATTTAACAACACCAGCAAAAATCATTTGCTCCATTTCACAACACAGGCAAAGTGAAAAAACTTAAAGTGACACTAAACTCAGGAATTAATTCTTAAAAGTGCATTCAAGTATCTGAACTATTAACAAAAATCTAGCTTATTTGTTCATCACTCAGCTGTAGATCCTCAAATTGTCTCTGAATTGGTGCTGGCACTGTCCTTCCTTCTGGAGGGTGGCTACTTATGTTCCCCATAGTACATGTGTGTGTTGTAAAGTAGCCACTGCTCCAAGCAGAGACAGTTCACTAGGCAAACTAGGCAGCCACCTAGGGCACTCTACCGCCTAGGGCGCAACCTCAACCAGCAGCTTTCTTGCACTGTGCTGGCTATCCGATACCGCTAGGTTATCCCAAGACATGTGAGTGGTCTTCATAAAGATGGCCGAGGAGGGAGGACAGTTTGATAATGTGAGCCAGGGTCTGGCATCTTTTGAAGCCAGCTAATGAGCCAATGAGGGGTGTGTGGCCGGCTCAGTGGGAAAGTCTCTAGCAGCCGCTTCCTGTGCTGTACCCTTCACAGGCCACCTGGGTGTCACAGTGAGAGGTGGGGGGGGGGCACCTACAGGAAACTCTAAGCCCGCTGTGTGTGCTATGAAGGCCTGCTCGACCCTGCGTGGCCTGCATGTAAGAGTCTAACATTTCCTGTATAGGCTGTATGGTTCTGTGTGCTATGGGAGGACTGTGGACACCATGGTGGGGACATGAACCCTATGTGCTGGGAACACAATGTAGGGGACATGGACCCTGTGTGCTAGGGAAAGGCGGGGGACACCATGGAGGTGGTATGGACCTTGTGTGCTATGGAAGGGCTTGGGACAGCATGGAGGGGGCTTGGACCTGGTGGGCTAGTCTGCAGAGGGGAAATGGGACTAGCCAGTCCACTGGGACAGCATGTAGTTAGCCTGTCTAGTGGGGTGTCTGCTGGAAATTTGAAAGAAATTTAAGCTTTTTTTATGCAAGTAGCTGGTCTTGCCTAGGGCGCAAAATAGTCTAGCACCGGCCCTGGCTCCCAGCTCGCTCCCTTACAGTCTCACATTTAGATTACAAATTTGTATTGAGATTGTATTCCATCACGGGAGCGAGCTTGGAGTGGTGGCTTCTTTGCAACACACACAGGGGCCAAGGGGAACAAAAGTAACCAGTCTCCAGAAGGAAGGACAGTGTCAGCACCAATTCAGAGATGATTTGAGGACCTATAGCTGAATGATACACAAATAAGCTATGTTTTTTTAAATAGTAAAAGGTATTTGAATGCATTTTTACTACATCTACATTTACTACTACACTACATTTTCCTGCATTTAGTGTCACTACATCTTGCCACTCTGATCATTGCACAGCATGCTTCATTAAAATGCATAACAACTAGGGCTGTGGAAATTAACGATTAATCCCTCGATTAATCGTTAATAATTTTGATCGATCAAAATTATTTTGATCGATCAAAGTTCTTTTGATCCGTACTCACCTCTCCACCGGCTTCCGGGTCTTCCATTGGAGATCCGGTGACGTCACGGACATCGACGTCACCGGACTCCTCCCCCCTTCCCCAAGTGGCTGTGGGCTAACGTGGGCCTTCATCAGGCAAAACACTTGTTTTGGTGGGGACATGATCTCTCTCTCCTCACTGCTCTGCATTAGTTAGTGACATCGGCTCCATCCTCCGCCCTCCCCTGCCGCCGGTTCCTTCACTTCTTCTCAGATCGAGTTGGATCTGTATGTGCGTTATAATTAATCGAAATTAATCGATTAAAAAAAATTTCGATTAATCGAACAGGAAAATGTTAATCATTACCAGCCCTAATAACAACTCTTATTAATATATTTCTCATAGAAAGAACAAGGCTTAAAGCTAATGCTAGCATTACTTTATTTACTTCATGAAAAAACAAGACGTATTATATAACTAGTACAACTAGCAGAGGAAAAGTCAAAACAGGGGCGATTTACAGTAAATAAACAATATAAAAACTCCCCAGCACTTAATCCAGCCAACCAATACAGAGAAATATAAACTGTTTTGTACCTCTAGATTAAAAACACATGTGTGTTGCATACGTTTTAACAGGTTAAGTTTATTGAAGTTTAACATATAACAATTGATCGGCCCTAAGACAGCTCAGGTTGTGAGGCAAAGTAAACATGCATAGTCAGTGTAGATAAACAGAACGTTACAATGAAGTCTATGAAAACATCAGATTACAAAAAAATGTTCAAGGTACTTCAGACACAGAGCTGACGTGCATTATGACACCATGGAAATAGGGGGGGGGGAGAAGGGGGGCAGAGACAGGAGGGAAAAGGGTGTAAACACCCACAGCACAAACTATCACAGAGTAACCTCCTCAACCAAGACTAGGAAAAGATGGATACAGGGGTGTACCTAGACTTTTCACTGGGGGGTGTAAGAAGTGCACGTTACCTCTGGCCGGCATCCTGTCCAGCTCGCTGATGCCACTGGTTGAGCGTCCCGCTCAGCTCCTGGTAACCAGTGACATCACTGGTTGCCAGGAGCTGGGCAGGATGCCGGCCAGAGCGTCCCAGGTTGCTAAGAGCTCTTAGCAACCTGGGACACTCTGGTCGGTATGGCAGGCAAGTACCACTTTCTGCTTCAAGCCAGACTAGATCTAGCAGTGCACCCATTTACTAAATGTATAAAATAAACAGGAAACAGTGTGAAAATATAAACACAGTCAGAGTATAGTGGTAACAAATTATACATTTATGTGCTGCCATGTTAAATTAACTTGCTAAACATTTTTAATATTTATGTATTTATTTCCTGATGGTGGAGTCAACAACAGTAATAAGTAGATTCTTCAGGAAACTCCCTCTTTCTTGGAAGTGACTCATCCTGGGACATTCCCATGATCAGGCAAAGTGGTATTCGACTTAAAAAACTCACTTTAAAGCTTTATACACTAAAGCTGGTCATACAGTGGTAGATTTTCATACGAATGTTCACACAAAAAATCTCATCAGAACATTCGATAATGCCTTTAGAGACTTGATAAATTTTGTCAGTGAAAACATTCATTGTTAAAATGCCATTCCTTTGAGAAAACTTTTCCATCCTGCTCATTCGATGTTTTTCATCACTATGGTTGAAAACAATTGTCGACTCGACCCCATTAAAGGAGAACTATGAGGTGAGTGCTTTTCACTCACCTCATAGTTCTAGCCGACCTGTGACAATGAGACTGTAGACTCAGT